ACACCCCCCAACCCTCCCACGCCACACACCTCCCAACCCTCCACGCCACAACACCTCCCAACCCTCCCACGCCACACACCTCCCCCAACCCTCCCACGCCACACACCTCAACCCACCCAAACCACCTCACCACGCCACACACCTCCCAACCCTCCCACCCACACACCTCCCAACCCTCCCACGCCACACACCTCCCAACCCCTCCCCCACCCCACCCCAGCCCCACACTCCCAACCCTCCCACGCCACACACCTCCCAACCCTCCCACGCCACACACCTCCCAACCCTCCCACGCCACACACCTCCCCAACCCTCCCACGCCACACACCTCCCCAACCCTCCCACGCCACACACCTCCCAACCCTCCCACGCACACCCCCCCCAACCTTCCACGCCACCAAATCGCCCCCCAACCCTCCCACGCCACACACCTCCCAACCCTCCACGCCACACCTCCCCAACCCTCCCACGCCACACACCTCCCCAACCCTCCCACGCCACACACCTCCCAACCCTCCCACGCCACACACCTCCCAACCCTCCCGCCGCCACACCCCCAACCTCCCCCACAACTCCCCAACCCTCCCACGCCACACACCTCCCCAACCCTCCCACGCCACACACTCCCCAACCCTCCCACGCCACACCACCTCCCCAACCCTCCCACGCCACACACCTCCCAACCCTCCCACGCCACACACCTCCCAACCCTCCACGCCACAACACCTCCCAACCCTCCCACGCCACACACCTCCCCAACCCTCCCACGCCACACACCTCCCAACCCTCCCACGCCAAAACACCTCCCCAACCCTCCCACGGCCACACACCTCCCCAACCCTCCCACGCACACACCTCCAACCCTCCCACCAACCCTCCCCCAACCCTCCCACGACACCTCCCAACCCTCCCACGCCACACACCTCCCCAACCCTCCCAGGCCACACACCTCCCCAACCCTCCCACGCCACACACCTCCCCAACCCTCCCCCGCCACACACCTCCCCAACCCTCCCACGCCACACACCTCCCAACCCTCCCACGCCACACACCTCCCAACCCTCCCACGCCACACACCTCCCAACCCTCCCACGCCACACACCTCCCCACACCTCCCACGCCACACAACCTCCCAACCCTCCCACGCCACACACCTCCCCAATCCTCCCACGCCACACACCTCCCCAACCCTCCCACGCCACCACACCTCCCAACCCTCCCACGCCACACACCTCCCAACCCTCCCAGGCCACACACACCTCCCCAAACCCTCCCACGCAAACACACCTCCCAACCCCCACGCACCACTCCCCAACCCTCCACGCACACACCTCCCAACCCTCCACGCCACACACTCCCAACCCTCCCACGCCCACACAATTCCCCAACCCTCCCACGCCAACGCACTCCCCAACCCTCCCACGCACACACTCCCCAACCTCTCACGCCACACAACTTTCCCAACCCTTTCCACACCACACCACCCCTTCCAACCCTCCCACGCCACACCAACCCCTTCCCAACCTCCCATGCAACACCACCCTCCCAACCTCCCATCGCAACACCAACCTCCCCCAACCTTCCCACGCCACACCACACTCCAAACCCTCCCACGCCACACACCTTCCAACTCTCCACGCCACACACCTCCCCACTCTCCCACGCCACACCAACATCACAACCCTCCCACTAGACTCCTTTTCGCGGTTCGCAACAGCTACGTACCACAGCAAGAGCAGTAGAGCTGCCCAACCACTTTTCCAGTCTGCTGTGTCTGTCTCACTCTGCTGTGTCTGTCTCACTCTGCTGTGTCTGTCTCACTCTGCTGTGTCTGTCCCTCACTCTGCGTGTTTCTGTCTCACTCAGGTGTGTCTGAGATCCTCACTCTGCTGTGTCTGTCTCACTCAGCAGTGTCTTACTCACACTGCTGAGTCGTGTCTCACTCAGCTGTGTCTGTCCTCACTCCTGCTGTGACTGTCTCATCCTGCTAGTGTCTGTCTCACTCTGCTGTGTCAGTCTCACTCTGCTGTGTCCAGGTCTCACTCTTCTGTCTGTGTCAGTCTCACCTGCAGTGTCTGTCTCACTCTCAGCTGTGTCCTGTCTCACTCTGCTGTGTCTTCTCACTCTGCTTGCATCTGTCTCACTCAGCTGTGTCTGGTCTCACTCATGCTGAGATGACTGTCTCACTCAGCGTGTCCGTTCTCACTTCCAGCTGGTCTCTGT